TAATAGTTTTTTATAACTGGCAAGAATTTCTTCCAAACTTGAGCTGTAGCTACGAACATTATCTCTTTCATTTTTCCAGTTAATCCCTGAGCACTTATCTATCCTTTTAGCAAGAAGCCCATACGTTCCTCTCCCTTTTTTTTGAGTTTTCTAAGAACCCAGCATCTTAATCCATGAGAAGGAAGGGAGTCAGGGTGATCCTGCTCTATTGACCAGGTTTTCCTTCCAGGCCCCTTCTCCCCACCTCTCCACCGAGATCTGTGCCCCGAGGCCCAGCAGATTGTATCATGTGCGCCTCCAAGCCCGACTGTGGGCTGGGTTCAGCTGATGGGAAGCAGTGGAAGGAGCTTAGCAGGTAGAGGAGACCGAATTGGAGCCATTTCTCCTTGATTTAGCCTCACCTCTAGCAAAACTGTGCCTTCATTAACATCCCTTCCTCTGAACCTTGTGTAGTGAATTCTGTTTCTCGCTGGGATGCTGACCGTTTAAACCGGGTCAGGCCAACATCCATGTTTAAACAGGGACATCCCTGGAGTGTGACCAGCCCTTCACTCCCATGTCTCCTTGCTATAGCACGTTGCTGCTGGATGCTGGCCTGTCCCATCTGACAGGGAAGGCTGGACCACTGCTGAGCTGGTCCTTCCTCACTGCAGGCCCCAGACCGGCCACTGGGTTCTTCAAGGAAGCACGGTCCTCTCATCGAGGGTCAATGGCTATGAGGGTGCCCAGCTTTCAGACATATAATACCTGTATCCCCACCCCCACGCTGTCATCTGTCACACAGACCCAGATTCCCTTCTCCCTGGAAACCCACCCTGGCTGTATACAGCCTGTCTTCGTAAACTTTCAAAACACAGTGGGTTGGATGATACCTCATCCCAGCTCTCTTTGAGGGAGGTGGCCCTCAGTGACTGTAAGACAGGGGTCCTCATCACCCTAAGTGATGCCACCCCAGCCTTCTAAGAAAGGGGGCTGGTCAGAGCTGTTGGGGTAACTTGCTAGAGCCTCTTTCACCAAAGAAGAGAAACACGCGTACAAATGAAAGGTCTAACAGAGTGCCTGCCACACCGTCTTCCTGACAGCAGATGTCCGTGACTTCAGACTGCACCTGTGTAGCCCAGAGAGCTCAGCCTGGTGCTCTGTGATGGTCTAGAGGGCTGGGAGGGGGGACAGCGGGAGGGAGGCTCCAGAGGGAGGGGATGTTTATATATAAATGCTGTGTGTGCTCAGTTCATGTCTGACTCTGCGACCCTATGGACTGTAGCCCGCCAGGCTCTTCCATCCATGGGATTCTCCAGGCAAGAATATTGGAGTGGGTTGCCATTTCCTCCTCCGAGGGATCTTCCTGACTCAGGGTTTGAACCCATGTCTCCTGCATCTCTGATATATGTATACATGTATCTGATTTTCTTCCTTGTGCAGAAGAAACTAACACAGCGTTGTAAAGCAGTGATTCTGCAACAGAAAAAGAGAAGACACGCCCCAGGGGGCTGACACTTGGGGCTGGACTGTGAGTGCACAGTAGGTCTCCAGTCCCTTTGTCTGGGGGGCCGCAGTCATCTTCCTGACTCTAAGGATGGGGCCCCTTGTGCTGGAATCTCTCCAGGGCTCCAGGAGTGTCTCAGGAACACCCATCCATAATCTCGCCCTCGAGCAGTGCACTGGCTGCCTGGTTACCCAGCTGGCTGGCTTCTGCCAGGGTGATTCCCTCCCCGTGGCATAAACAAGGCAGCAACATCACACAGGAGGCAGGCTGGGGCCGCCTCCCTCCCCACCCCCACCCCCCTACACACAAACATAAACCCGTGCACACACACAAATGGAGGGAAGACCAGATGGTTGGGCTGTCAGGAAACAGTACTATTTGCAAAAGCTGGATCTGCCCTGGGGGAGAGGTGGGAAGCGTGCGGCACCTTTGCTTTCTGACTCAGCCTCCATTCCACCCCAGAGTGGTGTTAGGGCTGGAAGTGGCTGAAATTCACACCTGGAAGTCGCCTCAGTTTGTCTGGTTGCCGCCGTGGATCTGTATCTGCTGGATCGCTGGGGACACCCAGTTCGGATGAGTTGCTCTTCCAAACTTCCGATTCCGCAGCCAACACCCCCTTGCTGGTCATGCTGTTTCCATATGACAAAGATGGCGCTCCAGGGACTTTGAATTCTGAGCTGGCCCCCTGGGACTCACTTGGGCTTTCATACTAATTATTTTCCAAGGCAGTTTACAGCTGGGTCATTTATACTCATATTTTTTCATGACACAATGCACCTGAGGTTTAACACTTAAAAGAAAGGGAGAAGGGTAAGGGCGAGGCACAGGAATTCTATCTCATGGTCCCCCCTGGTCCTAAAGTCTGCCCTCCGTCCCACATCCACTCCAGCTGGTGAAATCCAGATGGCCTCCAGTCAACCTGGGGTGGCTTCCTGGGGGAGGTGAGGTTTCAGGAGCCTGTGAAGGTGGAGAGGGGTTGAGTTCTGCCTTCTCACGCTGTCTCCATGTTGACTGCTCCTCTCCATCCGTCTTATTGTTGTTTAGTTTCTCAGTCGTGTCTGAATCTTTGTGACCCCATGGCCTAAAGCCTGCCAGGCTCCTCTGTCCATGGGATTCTACAGGCAAGAATACTGGAGTGGGTTGCCATTCCCTCCTCCAGGGGATCTGCCTGACCCAGGAATGGAGCCCACATCTCCTGCTTGGCAGATGGGTTCTTTACCACGAAGCCACCTGGGAAGCAGTTGATGTTTAAAGGCTTTTTATTTGAAGTTTTATTTAACACAAGGCTGGGCTATTTTCTCATGGGCTCAGATGGGGACCACTCCGGATTCTGTGTCCTCTCAGGGGATGGTGCCCAGTGTTCCCTAGTTGTCCTGTAGACATCATCCCATCCCGAGGGGACCCTGCAAACCTGTTCCATCTCACTGTCCCAGGCAGGTGAGGCTCCTCATGTTTGTTGTTGAAGGAGACCTATTCTAAGATAGGCACGACGTTGTAAATCAACTCACTGTAGTTCAATTTTAAAAGAGAGAGAGGCCCAAAGTCACATGGAGCTCCTGGGTCCCCACTCACTCCCTTCCCTGGGGCTGTGTTCCCTCGGGGGCCCCCCCTTCCCCAGAAGCCTCAGCAGAGCACCCGGCATGGCCTGCCTCATAGCTTCTCTGCCGTGGGCCCCCAGCTGATTTAGTGGACTAGCAAGCAGATTTGGATTGTTTATTGGATATGCCCATTATTTATGATGGCTCACGGCCCTAAAAGCATAGGCACGGGCTGTTTATAGAAATAATCCTAAAGAATAATAACCAGGCCCATGATTTATTAGGATGGAAGAAGGGAGCCACTCATTTTCAGTTGGAGCAAAATGCTCTGAAGGGACCAGATTCTCCTTCCAGAGAGCTTGGAGGAAATTCCTGTATGAATTGGGAGATCTAAGTACCAAGAGTTCAAAGGCGATTATAAAAGAAAATCAAAGACACGTGCCTCTCTGGACCTCATCCCTAATCCGCTTCTAGCCACATTTACAAGGTGACTTTTCCAGATTTTCAGATCCTCAGACCTGTTTAAGTAATATCACCTGATTACTTTTCAGGTGACATCAGTTTTCATTTTCTTACCCCCAAATTACTTAAAAGTGAGAGACAAGATGTGGTTAAATTATTGTTGAATTGACTGGTTCAGGTTCACGGAGCGAAGACTCAAATTCCTGTTGAAAATGCCCCCTCCGTCCCTTCTTCCTTCCTTCCCTCCTTCCCTCCTTCCCTGCTTCCTTTTGTTGACTGAAAAAAAATGTGCAGCCTAAAACTTGAGAATTATGTTTTATTCAGTGGACTTTCTGAGGACTTAAGCCCAGAAGGCAGCCTCTCAGTTGGCTCTGCGAGATTGCTCTGAAGAGGTGAGGGAGGAGCCGGGATAGATAGGAGATTCTGCAGCAAAAACCAGGTAGTCAGAATAGCAAAAGATGATTGTTAGTTAAAGAAAAGCAGATACCTGGAGTTAATGAAGCTAGTGCTTTTTTACGTATGTCTGGGCTCATTGAAATCATCCCTTTGACATGCACCTCAGCTACCTGGGGCCAGGACTCTGTGTTCTCCATCCTGAATCCCCTCAGGGTGCCCAGTCCAAGATGGTTCTAGTCATATCTGATGCACCTGATGTGGGGTTAGTGCTTTCCCTCTGTCCCTGAAGCGCATGGCCCAGTAACCTCTTCTCTGTCAAGCTCTTTGTCACAGTCTGCGTAGACCCCTCTGCGCTGTCTGCTCAGCTGTCCATGGAGCTCCACGGGTCTCGAGTCTTCTGAAGGCACCAGTGAGGTTTCTGCTCAGTGTTCCTCAGGGTCTCCTGGGAACATTGGTTGACTCCCTGCCTTGACCCAATAGAACTCATGGATGCTGTGTCTCCCGAGGCAGAGACCTTAGACTCAGATTGCGTTTGTTTCACTTGCTTATCTGATGAGCCTCCATCATTTGAGTGAATCGACTCAAGATGTCTCAACCTGTGCCAAGGACATACAGGAAGGGCTTTCCTGCTAAAGACAAAGGAGGAGAGAAAGAGGAGCTATGAGTGCCCTGGTGCCCAAGCCAAGCCTTTGGTGCTTCTTGACTTCTGTTCACTGGTCAACAAGCCATTTTGTCAGGGATGTTTGTTCTAGTAAAATCTTCTAGAAGTGACAGTTGTGCCAGTAAAAGCTGAATTCCTCTTGATGAAGCAGGGGTGGTGGGAGGTTATTCTTCTTGCTCCGACCTCTCTTTGAGGAGCACAGTGCAAAACTGTCACTTTCATGGATCAGAGGAAGGAAGTGAAAAGAGACATGTATTGATCCTATATACTCTTGACCTTCTGTACCTGGTAAACCATTTGGGACCTCACAGAAGAAGTCAGTTCTAATGTCCCAGAGCAATGGATCTCTGGGTTTCTACTCTGGAGGAGTAAACGGACAGATAATGGCTCATGTCACAGGGCCACCACTCTAAGGAGGTGAGAAATCTGTCTGATCAGCTTTGATCTTCCCTTTCAGAGGTTCCAAAAACAGAGCAGACATTTGAAGAGCGCCTGATCCTCAAAGCTTTCTTACTGAAATTTGTTAATGCCTACTCACCCATCTTCTATGTGGCCTTTTTCAAGGGAAGGTGAGTATCTTGGTGCCATATGCAGAAGGGCAATTGGTCATAAAGACAGTCCTCCACTAGAGTAAGCCTGTCCCCATTGTCAGCTTACATCTTCAGCTCTGTGTCCCACTCCTATTGCCAGCTGACTGCACTAATCATGTTGGATTAGCATCTTCAGATTATGATAACATGGGGAACTCTTCAGTTATTTGGCTCTGGCCCTGAAGGGTTAATCCTATAGGAATGTGTGTCTCCCAAGTTGAGGACATGGCAGGAGAAAACTTCATGTCCAGCCAGTGATTCTTGGGTCTTGCAATGCAGATCTGATGCTATCTACCCAGGTCAATGTGGACTTCATAGATTAGGATATAGTCTCCCACAAGACTGCCCTCACTTCAGACACTACTGCAAGCTCTGGGACCCTCAGGTCACTGATGGTTCTGCCCAACTGACTATAACCACTGACCCCCTAGGGTTTGATAATTCACTGGAGCAGCTAATAGAGCTTGGGATGTGCTGTCTCTAAAGTTACAGTGTTACTACAGCAAAGGGTTACAAGTCTGAACTGGCAAATGAAAAAGACACATAAGGCAAGGTCTAGGAGCCTCTTGGAAAGAAGCTTACATGTCCTCAGGATATCAGCTTCCTGGCACATCAACATGCACCACCAACCGCTCATCCAGGCTTCAGTGTCCAGAGTTTTTATTGGGGTCCCATTATCCAGACATCATTGAATGAATCATGGCTCATGTAGTTGAACTTAGTCTCCAGTCCCTCTCCCCGACCTGAGGTCAGGCTGCCTTTACTTGGCTCAAAGCCCCAACTCTAATCACGTGGTTGGTCTTTCTGGCATTGACCTCCATGATTCTGAATGAATGGAAAAAGAATTGTGGTACATATATACAGTGGAATAATAGTCGTAAAAAGGAATAAAATTAGATCAGTTGTAGTGATGTGGATGAGCCTAGAGTCTGTCATACAGAGTAAAGTTAAGTCAGGAAGAGAAAAACAAATATATTAATGCATATGTATGGAATCTAGAAAAAGTGTACAGATCTTATTTGCAGGTCAGGAATAGAGATACACATATAGAGAAAGGATTTGTGGACATGATAGGGGGAGGAGAGGATGGGGCAGGGATTGAGAGAGTAGCATTGACATATATACACTATCATGTGTAAAATATGTTTTAATAGTTAGTGGGAAGACACTGTGTAATACAGGGAGCTTAGCTCAGTGCTCTGTGATGACTTAGAGGGGTGGGATGGTGGGTTGGGGATGGGAGGAAGGCTCAAAAGGGATGGGATATATGTATACATATAGCTGGTTCATGCTGTTGTTCAGCAGAAACTAACACAACATTGTAAAGCAATTATACTCCAATCTAAAAAATCTTAAAAAAAAGAATTACCTTACTAGCATAAACTTAGGTCTAGTCCCAGGGGACCACCATGAATAACAAAGACACTCCTGTCAGGAAATTCCAAGGATTTAGAGGTTCTTCCCAGGGACCAAGGACAATGACCAGTCATATTCTTTATTATATAATAGTCCTGGGTATAAATCACTTCTAATAAGTATCATTTGTGGTCAGATCAGCTAGGTACCGCCAAGATTTCCCCTTAGGCATCAGCTAAGTTAGGAAGCTTCCTTAGAACCGAGAGCTCATGAAGCAGGCGGCAATAGCAAGACTGTCATCGTCCACACTTTATAATTTCCTATAAATGTGTTTGTGACCCAAACTACTACTCCTTCTCAGGACCTCTGCACTTGAGGCTCATGAAATTATAGTAGCAGAGTGGTTTTCCATATTAATGATTATATACTTCTTTGGTGATTTATGTCTAGATTTAATATAAATAGAAACTTGCATACATGTGATATTCCAGGGGGAAAAAATCGTAGGTCTCTGACCCTTAGATAAACTTGTAGGGTACTGAGAGGGAGAGTCTTGTCAACAGCACACTGCAGTCTGCAGTAAGTGCTGTAAGAAAAGGTGGAAAGAAAGTGTTAGGGGAACATTTAATTGTGAACAGAGACAGGAAGACTGCACCAGGAGGGTAAGTCAAGCTGAGCCTCCAATAGATGAGCAAGATTTCAGGATATGGGTGAGCAAATAACATTTCAAGAAAGTAGGATTCTTCTATTGGCCTGTCTGGTTCCATGGTTGGCTGGTACCTCTCCACCTCCCCCATCTACTCAATCTTCTTATTCCCTAATAAATTAAACCCTTAGATCTTAGAAGAGGAATGAGACAGGCTTCTTCCATTCCTTTGAGAATTTTCAGTAAGAAGTCTGAATTTTTCGTTTCTGGTCTCAAGAATCTCCACTTGCAGTTTTAGTGCATCTTGGTCTTCATTACCTGGGAAATCAGAAGCCCTTGTGGAGGAATTGCAGTCAGAACTCAATTCTTTTTTTAAAAATACATTTTATTTTGTATTGGAGATATAGCCGATTAATGAGCAATGTTGCAATAGTTTCAGGTGGACAGCGACGGGACTCAGCCATACATATGTCCATGGCTAATTCATTTCAATGTATGACAAAAACCACTGCAATGATGTAAAGTAATTAGCCTCCAACTAATAAAAATAAATGGAAAAAAAAAAGAAACTCAAAAAAAAAAATAAAAAAGATAAACTTAACCATTGATAAAATTAAAAAAATAAAAATAAAAAAAAATAAACTTAACCATCGATAAAATTAAAAATAAATAAATAAATAATAAAATATAGCAGTGTGTACGTGTGCATCCCAATGGATAGTTAGTTATAGAACTCAGTTCTTGATACAAGTTGAGGGAGGAAGTTGCAGGACAGTACACTTAAAGACAAAGAGGGCATGGCAGCCCACTTGGCTGGGAAATCCCATGGACAGAGGAACCTGGTGAACCATGGTTCACAGGGTCACAAAGAGTTGGATACGACTGAAGCAACTTAGCATGCATGCACCTGCTAAGAAAATCCAAACTTTGTTGTGTTTAGGCTCTGAAATGATCACACACACACACACACACACACACACACACACACACACGACTGCCTCAGCTCCACACCATACCCGGCCTCAACCCCTCTGCCCTGGGATGTGACCTAGTCAAAGGTGACCCCCTGGTGTTATAGGTGATTGTTAGCTGATAACAGGTGTGAACTCCTTCCCAGAGGAGTAGCACTGCCCTGGCCAGTTCTTCCTAGGAGGACATTGGGCAGAGACTGGTCCACTGGGAAGACACACCCTTGGGGCAGCCCTGCCTTCTTCTCTCTTTCCCTAACTCATCCCACACTTCTCCCTTCCAGGTTTGTTGGTAGACCCGGAAGCTATGTTTATGTGTTTGATGGTTACCGCATGGAAGAGGCAAGTATAGCCACTGGTGTTTCCTGCCTGGCTAGTGGCTCGTAGGTGCCCCTCCCGCCCCAGCCCCATACTTATATCCCCACTGCAGCCTGGCTTAGCTCATGCCCTTGCCTGTCTGATGTCCCTTCTTGCATCTTCTCGTCCTGCAGTGCGCCCCCGGGGGCTGCCTCATGGAGCTGTGCATCCAACTCAGCATCATCATGTTGGGGAAGCAGCTGATCCAGAACAACATCTTTGAGATCGGAGTCCCGTGAGTAATGAGCTCTGCTCACCCTGCTTGTGGCTGCCAGGGCTGAGCCTGGCAGAGTCAGACTTCCAGCAAGATCTCAGGGCTTCTGCTCTTCTAAGATAGGGTGGCTGTTCTCTCCTCTGTCCATGCATGCTCAATTGCTCTGTTGTGTCCAACTTCTTTGCAACCCCATGGACTGTAGCCCCGCCAGTCTCCTCTGTCCCTGGGATTTCCCAGGCAAGAATACTGGAGTGGGTTGCCATTTCCTACTCGAGGGGATCTTCATGACCCAAGGTTTGAACCCATGTCTTGCATCTCCTGCATTGGCAGGTGAATTCTTTACCACTGAGTCACCTAGGAAGCACTCCTCTGTCCGTTTCTCCAATAGCTTCCCGATGACATAGTGCCCCTCCTGCATGTTTTGTTTGCCAATCTGATTTGGGATGTTGGAGGCTCAGCAGGATTAAGCACTTGCTTCCCTGATGACTCAGTGGTAAAGAATCTGCCTGCAATGCAGGAGACGTGGATTTGATCCCTGGGTTGGGAAGATCCCCTGGAGAAGGAAACCCATTCCAGTATTCTTGCCTGGAGAATCCCATGGAGAGAGGAGCCTGACTGGCTACAGTCCCTGGGATCGTAAAGAGTCGAACATGATTGAGCGACTAAACAACAACAACAATTAGTACCCATGACAGTAAGTGACAGAGCTGAGAGTCAGATATCTCTGACTTCAAAGTGCATCATGCTTTTAATGCTGTGTCCTCCCAGTGAGCAAGTAAAAGAGCCTTTCAGTATGGTAGATGGCACTTCCCAGGTGGTCCAGTGATTAAGACTCCATGCTTCCACTGACAGAGGCTCAGGTTCAATCCCTGGTTGGGGAACTAAGTTCCCCCAAATTAAAAAGAACTATAGTAAATGGGTGAATATGAAAGACTGAACCCCAGTGTAATCATTTAGAAAAAATCTCTAAGGAACTGTGACACACATGGTCTTAAGAGGGGAAGGATGCATAGCTGGTGAAACACAGGCTGGATTTTCCTGTGGATTCTCTCCCCTCCCCTCCCACATGGTTTTATACAAATTTCATACAAGTCCTTCTTTGGTTAGGTTTTGCATTGAGATAGTCATGGAAATAAACACAGACACACATCCACTGGACCCAAAAGTGGATGCAACAGGTGAAAATCTACCTCAGGCAGAGAAAATGTGGCTCTCACTACCTCTCATTTTTATGGCTTTTTATTTATTTATTTATTTTGGTGTAAAGAAGTCTGTTTCAGGGGATATTTTCAGCTAGCCTGGCCTCAGAGAGCCAGGGAATGACAGAGAAAATTGGGGTAACTCTTATAGGCTGAGCCAACCCTGTTTAGGAGGACTGGATTGTTTGTACCAGACTTGGAGTTCTTTGCAAACTTGCAAGATTATATCCATTCTGGGATGCATTCGCCAGACAGTCCCCATAAGGTTAAGTGAAGATACTGCCACTTGTTCTGTCTCCCTCTTGGAGATTTACTCTGCATATTATTTGAATGGTTCTGAGAAGTCCTGCAGTAAAGAAACTGGTTTAATCCCTTTCTTTCCGGCTACATTTGTTCGTGTCATTGAGCTGGGGTCTCAGTGGCAGACCTTGGAGTCCACTCTGACTAGTGTAAGCAGCAAAGAAATTTGAGAACAGTATGAACAGAATATGATGTGAGGGATAGAGAGCCAGGCTCTGAGCTGCAGGACCAGGAACAACACTGTCCACACTGCAGGAGGGCTTGCAGGGAATGCTACTGCCTCCATCTCTCAGCTCAGATGGCTCAGAGTGAAAAATGAGAATTGGATATCACAGAGCTAACCCCACAAAAACTGCAGTCTGAGCCTTCCCAGCTGTCTTCATCAGCTTGAGTTGCTGTAACAAAATAGCATTGACTGGGTGCAGACATTAATTTCTGAGTCCTGGAGGCCATGCAGTTCAAGATTAAGGTGCCTGCAGGTTTGGTTCTGATGAGGACTGGCATCCCATGTAAACTCATGTGACCCATTCTCTGTATGTATATGGAGAGAAAGAGAGCTCCGGCACCTTCTTTTTATAATATGAGGGCACTAATCCCATCATGGGACCCCACCCTCATGGCCTAATTGAAACCGAGTAAGTGAAAGTATTAGTTGCTATTAGTTAGTCATGTCTGTCTCTGTGTGAGCCCGTGGACTGTAGTCCACCAGGCTCCTCTGTCCATGGGATTCTCCAGACAAGAATACTGGAGTGGGTAACCATTACATTCTCCAGGGGATCTTCCCGACCCAGGGATTGAACCCAGGTCTCCTGCACTTCAGATTGCCAGTTAGGACTTCATCTTATGGATTCTGGAGGGGACACAGTCAGTCTGTAACACAAGCCTCTTGGTTTAATCTATACACAAAATGTTTGAGACTTCCCTGGTGGTCCAGTGGCTGGGACTCCATGCTCCCAATGCAGGGGGCCTGGGTTTGATCCCTGGTCAGGGAACTAGATCCTGCATGTTGGAACTAAACCCAGCACAGCCAAATAAATGTTTTAAAAAGAAGATCTATGGTCTTAAAAAAAATTTGTATGTAATAAAAATATATATGCAATGGTCCTTATCTTCTCAAAGATGAGTTTTTTTAGTTTGGGAGACAAAATAGACTGTGTGTGACTGGGCGTTCTGTCTGTGGTTTGACTCCATCAGAATTCAGACAAGTGAAGGCCAGGCATTTCAGAGCCATCAAGGAAGACTTCATAAGCAGGCAACTGTGTCTAGGTCTTGAAAGAAGGCTGTCACTGTCATATGTAACCAGTTGGTCTGCCAGTTAAAGAAACAGTTTCCCCTGGGTGTGGATATCTTCTCTAAACAAACAACCTACAGATTTATCAGAACACTTCCTAACTCACTTGTGGCTTAGAGAAGTTGTGGTAGTCCCCTGATGGGACCTGCAGCATGCCAGGGTCATGGCAGGAGCCCAGAACCTCTCTCAGTCTGCTTAAAGGTCGCTGAGCCCTAGCTTCCTTGAGCTGATTGGGACAATTAGCAAATAAATATGTTCCAACTCCTTTCTCCAGGAAAAGCAATCTTGGTCACTGCTCCTATAGGAACAGCAACTGCCTGAAAGGTCCCCAGAGGAAGCTATTCTTTTGTCTTTCTCAGAAACACAGAGAGCTAAAATTATAATGGAGAAAACCAAAGTTGTCTGGAAAGAAAACCCTTTTTAATGAGAATCCTGCATATTCGCTCAGAACACTTTGCCGTCCCAGTGCTCAGAATGGGTCTCACCATCACCCACCATCAGTCAGGCTGTTTTTCTGTCCCCACACTGTGACAGCCTCAGGGGCCACTTGGGCAGGTGACCTTTCTTGGAGGAGATGGAGGAGAACATTGACCAGCATCTCTGTCTGCTTAAGCCAGCCTCCAGTCCTCAGTCAGGAAATCATCAGTCTTGAGAAGCTCAACCCTCTGAAATAATGCCTGGGTCTCAGCTTTCTGATTGACAGTCATTCCGTGATAGTCATCAAGTAACGCTGGTGGGACACATGGTGCCTGTGGTCTAGGAGCTTAGCATCTCAGAGAGAACACATTTGTTATGGACCAACATCCAGGACATAAACAGACTGGAAAAAGATGTGCCCCTTTGAAGCTGTGAGACCAGCCCATCCACCACTGCTACAAAGGATAGTCGCCCGTACCCTCCAAACATCTGGGGAAAGCACCTGTCTTTCCAGTACATTGGATGGAATTAGATACAGCTTGTGGATGTGAGATGCCCATTTTTTCTTTGCCGGGCATCTGTTCTACCACTTAGCCCATCCACTCTGCACCCAAAAGTCTTTTTAGAGTATAAGAAAGGAAAGAGATCAGTCATGTGTTTGGACAGTGTGTTGGATGTTTCCCAACCATCAATTCCATCAACTCCATGACAGATGAAACCTACACCCGGCTGTTTTCCTTGCAGACTAAATTTTCTTCCTTATGCTTGATGAGTGTTTAATATGCCACCCTTTAATTGGTGGCATTTGCATAGTAATTCATAGAGCTGTGAGCAAGTCACTTCCTGTCTCACTGTCCTCGTCTCTTGATGAAAAGGATTTGATAAGTCATAATATGTAGCAGGATATAATGTAATATATATTTAGTATGTAATAATGTAATAATCTCTAAAGTATTGTCATTTCAGCTCTAGCATTCCATGAACCTCTCCTCTAGTCAATGAAACTGGTCACTGCTGATTCCAAGACAAGTTATTTCTATTTCACAAGAGTTTTTCCTCATTTTAGTTCTTAGTCTGTTGTTCAGTCCCTAGGCTGTGTCTGACTGTTTGTGACCCCATGGACTGCAGCACGCCAGGCTCCTCATCCTTCACTGTCTCCCAGAGTTGCTCAGATTCATGCCCATTGAGTTGGCGATGCTATCTAATCATCTCTAGTATGCTAATGGACACATATAGCCTAATCGGGTAGTTGAATTCAGGGATGTAGAGCAAAAGTTCTTCCACCAAGTCTTACAGTCTATTATCTTCAAAGTGAAAGTAAAAGTCACTCAGTTGTTTCTGACTCTGCGACCCCATGGACTGTATTCCTTGAAATTCCCCAGGCCAGAATACTGGAGTGGGTAGCCTTTCCCTTCTCCAGGGGATCTTCCCAACCCAGGGATTGAATGCAGGTCTCCTGCATTGCAGGCGGATTCTTTATCAGCTGAGCCACAAGGGAAGCAAAGTTCTCAGTAATTCTACAGATTGTGACTTGACTTTGTTCACTCAGTCACCGTGATTTTGGTTAATAGGTCTTCCACGCTCCCCTCACAGCCCACTCTCAGTGGATTAGACTCATCCAGCCAAAGCTCATGCCCCTGGCAGTATCCTTGTATATGACAGAGTTGAGAAACATAAGGTAAGCAAGAAAAAAATGGGGTCTAAGCCTTCCCTGGTGGCTCAGGCAGTAAAAGCGTCTGCCTACAATGTGGGAGACCGGGGTTCGATCCCTGGGTGGGGAAGCTCCCTGGAGCAGGAAATAGCAGCCCTCCAGT